GAGTAAGTTACTAATGAGATATACAGCTGACTCCTTTAAATAGCTAAAGAAGCTACTAAGAATTAGGGCAGCTTCCAAAATTACCCCAAATTACACACACACGCACGCACGCACACACAGAAGGGGAAAACTAAATGGCTAACAAATACAAGAAGGGATGCTCCGATGTACTACTAGTAAGAGAAATGCAACTAAATCCCATTAGAGTGGCCAATTTATTATAGAAAGGGGGGCAATTTCAAGCGATAGTAAGAATGATTTTCATGCACATTTCTCATAAACCTGTTTGCACTGCTAATATAAGATAAACAGATACAACCATTCTGGAGAGGAATATGGCAGTACTTACACTATGTCTACGCTATGACCAGGCAATCCAACCCCTAATATATACCCCCTAAGACATTCTGACACATAGGCTGTGTGGTTCTCAACCAAGTAATCATTTGCTTCCTATGCATTGGTGCACCACTGAGTGATGATCCAACTAAAAGAAAAAAATCCAGGCTTTTAGTAATCATCAACTCCCACTTCCTCATTTCACAAATTCAGATTTGTTTTGTGATTTTAAAAGTGACAGACACTTAAATACACTCAGAGCAATTGGGGACACTTAAGAAAATTTTATAATCCTTGATACTAAACACTTGTTCACTTGTGTCTGTAATTTGAAAATACGCATCCCTATTATTAGACATACGAGAAAATGACAGGAGAAAGTCCTGCTTATGCAAATAAATCCAGTAAATTAGCAGCAGGCCATACATGAAAAGTTAGAATCCCTGACTCTCAGGCTGGCTCCTCCACTCATAGGGAAAAGCCCGGGATGAGAGAGTTGCCTAAGGCCTCAGAGCTAGTTCCAGGCTCAGCAACAGACCACAGGTCTCCAAAGTCTCACGCCAGTAACCTTTTTCCTTTTATCATTGCACATATTTGCACTGATTCCAACTCATCAGGCATTTCTCACAATGGTTTCTTGCTGGTGAAATCAATATTTTTATTGTCAGTAAGAGTCCATAGCCCTCTGATGCCCACTGTTAATCTTCAAGGAAGAGCACCACAAACTCACCTATCAGCGTGGGAAAAAGATACAGTCAAGGGTACCGAATAGTAGAGACCTTTAGGGGGAGGGGCAGTTGGCCGGTTCCATACATACAAATTTTTTACATGACATCCAAAAAGGCAGAAGAGCTTAGTTACCATTAAATGTTTTTCCACATCTGAATAAAAGATTCAATCCTGAAAATTCAACAGGAGATGGTCATAGTTCCCTGAATCAAAACCCCTAGCTTCATGTATTAATCACATTTTGTCATCATTGTAGCATTAGAAAATTATATTTGTTCTCACTGACAAAATACTTACGGGAAAAAAGAAGAGGCTCACAAAGTTTCCCCCCCCAAAAAAAAAATAATAAGTAAAATAGTCCCAGGAGAGCGAATTAAAATGCTCATTTTAGTTTTCTCAAGGTCTAAATCTCCTCAGGCACCTTCTGTGATCTTTTATTTAGAGTAAAAAAGTATTCGGCTGTCTGCCTATGCTTTCTCCTTCAGGCATTTAGCCCCAAAGAAAGAGGAAAAAGGAAAGTATTTCTAAAGAAAGCCCAAAATATAAAAAATGAAGGAACAGATTAGAATTGAAGTGATTTTTGCAGGAGGTTGAAAATAGTGTCATTTAGAATAACCCCGGCTGTACAGATTACATATGACTAAATGTGATCCTTCATGAAGAATTGGAATTTGTGTTGAGAGAAAAAGCTTCCAGCTGCAAGAAAACAAAAGGAGCAACAATAAACAACACTGATCTCTTTTCTCACAGAACCACTAGTCATGGACAAAGGAATTGAAGTGGAAAAATAACTTCAGATTTCAATCTACTCTATAGAATGAGCCTCACAAACATACACGAAAAACGGGCTTAAATGGTAATCACTTGAACCAAGTACAATAAAGCTTGGGTAATGGCACATCTCCCAAGTTGAAGAGTGACTTCATACACTTAGCAATAGCCGGAAGAGGTCACCGAGAGGAGCATCTCATTCTAACACAAGTTTACTTAACCACCTCTGCCAAAACAGATTGTGACAATGCTTAGAGGTCTCCAGATAAGACTCCAAAGTCACAATCAAGAACACATTTCAAAGCTTAATAGCCTACACTACCAGGAAACGATTTCACGTAGGTAACTTAAATCACCCACCCAGGAGGTTTAACCTGTTGCTTTTCATTTTGATTTCAGAGGATAACCGCTGATCCTGCTTCCATGACAAGCTGGTCCCTTATTAGAAATGCGTTATCAAATTATTCTTCAGGATGAGCTGTGGTTCTGTTTGACCTTTGCCTCTGCGTCTCCCTTCTCAGCACTCCACTTTGGTGGCTCCTGAGGAAACCCTCTGTAGCACGAGAATAAGTCACGTGCAGAGAAGAGAAAAGGGCTGCCTTTCTATTAATCATAAAGAGACTAGGAGAAGTCGACTGTGGAGCCCCCGAGATATCCACATGGAAGGTGCAAGGAAACTGAGAGCAACTCTCAAAAGAATATTGGAAGACCCAGTAATTCCTAAGCATTTATGACTTTCTTCTCATCCTCTGCAGGTCTCTTCATTTTTGGCTTCCACCACTAAATATGTTGCTTTAAGCTAATCTAAGCTATTACTCTGTAACTGTAACTTCCACCAACCTCTCTCCTGCTTTTTAAAATTGAATTTCCCATCTCCAGAAGTCCTATAGAGCCATTCAACTGTATACAGCATGTCTAAAACCAAACTCATTACCCTCTTCCCACCAGCCTGCTCCTTTCCCAGGAGCGTCTCTTTATTCAGCTGCATCATCATGTAGCCAAACTCAACCTCACAGGGTTATTTTTAACTCCTCCCTCTCTGTTCTTCTTCAAGCAATTCAGGACAAGCTGTGTCATGTCCACCGCCTAAATACCTCTGGTATCTGCTGTCTCCTCATTTTTCTTCCCAGCCTTAGCTCAATCCCCCATCATCCCAAATCTGCACCTGATACTTCTCCCTTCCAGCTCAAAACATAAATTCATTGTCTTATCCCTGTGCAAAGCCATCCAGGACCCACCACACCTGCAAGATAAAGTCCAAACAAGGCCCTTGAAAGTCTAATTCCAATTTATGTTTCCAGTTTTAACTTTCCCCACCACCACGGACTGCATCATGTCTCCACACCCCACCTGCTCCCACACACACACACATATTCTAGACCCACCCAGTTTCTCCAAAGTCCCAAATATAGAAATGCATGCAATGCTTACATGTCATTGCATCCCATTCCTACCGCCTGGAAGCTCCCCTCTTTTCTCTGCGGACCATCCATTCTTTAACATCTTTCTCAAACACTCTTTCCTCTCTGATAATTAAGCCTCAAGCCCCCCTCTGATGTAGTCATTTTTCTACCATGCATTCACAGCATCTCGCACATTCCTCTTTCATACTTCTCATACCCCATCTCCATGCTGCCCTTATCCCAAAAGAGACTACAAACAAGGACCTTGGCCAAGTCCTCTGTTGTAGCTGGGAAAGCTAAATAGTCACTTCCCCAGTCTCTCTTACATCAAAGGATGGTCATGTGACACAGTCTGACCAATGAGACATCAGTGCAAAATTGCTAGGGTATCTCTGCACAATTGTTGTGTTTTCTTGATAATAGCAAAAAGCACAGCTGAAAACCTCCCTCTTCCTCTCACCTCACACATGCATATGATATTTGGAGCTGCAGAAGCTGTCTTGCCAACATGAGGACAAAGGCAAGCGAATCATCGAGATTCCAGCCCTGATATCATGGAGCACCTGAACTATACTAGCAGCCACCGATCTGCGGACTTACTAGGTGAGAAAACTCAATCAACCCTGGTCTTTCTAGCTATTTTTCACATTGTCTGTTGCTTGCTGCGTTCCTCACTGATATTTTTATGAAAACGTTAATGTAGCAATAACTATTTGGGGACCTACTCATCTCCTGACACTATACTATTTTTATTTCTTTTGCTTTATTTAATCTTTAGGCATCATCATTTCTATTTGCAGAATAGAAGACTGATATACTGAAAAATTAAGTAATAACTAATTTCTCAAACATCACACACAGCTATGAAGTTTCTGAGCCAGGATTCCAAGTCGGAGGTGTCTGATTTGAAAGTTTGTTCTTTTCACCACTTTTGAAGACTGATTCAATAAGGCTAGACCAAGAAAAGAGCTGTCAAAGACAACGTGGGTTTCCAAGCCCAGCAAATGAGAAAAATCTGCATCAGCTAAACCCATTTACCAGTTTACCAGAGAATTGGTAGTGCGGGATAGAATTTAAAAAGCCTTGCTCAAGCTGGTAATAGATGAATTCTTTCTAAACTGCCCTCACAAAAACTATGAGGCCTGCCACTCTTTGTCACAAGAGATTGGAGTCTTCTCTATAAAGCCAAAATGGTTACTACCCATTGCTCCATTTTCCTCAAGGCATTTGCAAATTCACTCACAAAGCAGCCCCATGTTCAAAGAAAGGGTGGGGAAAAGGTTGCTAACAGTATATGGAAGCAAAGATACCACATGAAAGAAGTGAGGAGGCCATGTTTGGGATCAGGAATTATTTTAAAAGGAATAGAAAAATACTTCCATGTTGTGACTTAAGTCAAGAAGCATGCAATTTAATTTAGCCTAGAGATATGAGACCAAAGAGTCAAATATATTCAATACATTGCTCTTGGTCTGATGTACATCATATTTTGGAAGAAAGAGCAAGAACTATGTACCAGATAGAATATATTTAAATCTCAGTTCCATTAACTGTGTGTCAGTCTCTGAAACTCATTTAGTTTGGTGGGCAAATGAGGGTGATATACTACCTTAAAAGGTTGTCTGAGGATTATTAAATGAGGTAAGAGATAAGCAGAACACTTAGGTCACTGCCTGGCCCTAGTAAGTGCTAGATAAGTGCTAGTAAGTGCTAGATAAGTGGTGCTGATTACAGTAACAATTAGAAAACCAAGGACAAAAATGACTCAGAAGTACCTCAACTGGGTGTTGACCAAGTTAACACTGGGGAACAAAAAAGGTGGTTCAGATAGGCAAGTTAGTCTACAACTAGGAGCCGGGCCATTAACACCAGTCCAAGCACACTTTGCATAAACAAGGCCATACTAGAAGCCGAGCATCCAGCCCCAGGCAAGCCTTTGGATGACTGCAGTTCTAGCTGATGTCTGTGTGCTGCGATTTTTCTGACACACCTTGATCTACAACCACCCTCGCGTAAGTTGTTTGAATTCCAGATCTACAAAAACAGTGTGAAATAACAAACGTTTATTGTTTTTTAAGCTGCTAAATTTGGGGATAATTTGTTATGTAGCAGTAGATGACTACTTCACTAGCTTTTTATATATTTATTTATTATGAGATATATACATATTATTTAGATAAGGGGAGAAGGGAGGGGAATGGAAGAGAAGAGAAAACTAGCTCTACCTGAAGCTTAGAAAAGCTTTGCCTATTTCTAATTATTTGCAATGCTTCCTGGAACTAGAAGAACGGACTGTGCCAGACATCGTGTAAGTATTATATTGAGTTTTCTTCAACCCAGTCAAACAATGAAATCAGTTCTACATGTAAACAGGCTCTTTTCAACTAGGTAGCATAGGTTTTATGTAATTATGAATTTGTTACTGATTCATGGGAAAGCAAATTTAAAGGTTTCTGTTTCTCTTTCTCTCTCTCTCTCTCTCTCTCTCTCTCTCTCTCTCTGCATGTGTGTGTGTGTGTGTGTGTGTGCGCTCACACATGTGTGTGTGTGTGCGCTCACGCGTATGTGTGTGCACACGGTGACTGGTAGAGTTGAAGAAAACATGGCTAATTGAACATAGGAACATAACAGATACTTAATTTAGGGAATCGGAGACTATTTCTGAAGAGCCTCACATTTCACATAAAATGAAGAGTTCAGGGCAATTTTACGCCCGTGCTGCTACACGGCACACTGAGCTTCTCCCATCCCACGATTGAGAACCCTCACACAAAACTACTTCAGTTTCATCTTTTTTGACTGAGGGCCCTTAAGAGGTGGGAAAAAAATCTCTCATTGCCTCCACATTGCAACTGTCTGGCTTGTTGGAAGTGTCACAGTGTTTGATCACATTGGCGTGATTACTGAAGAATAGAAAGCAAGGGACTTCTGGTGGCTCATTTCTTTCTTTACAGTTTGCAGGAACCATCACTCGCTCTTACATTATATTAGCTGACACATTGACAAGGCCTAATAACAAAACCCCACATAAGAAAACTGTATCAAGAAGACCCCGAATATAGCTGCATACGACAGTGCCATACCTTATCATATACTACCAAGGTCAGAGTCAAGCCATGTCTGATGACTGCTGAGTAAGATCTACCACTCCAACTAGCAGTCCACAGCACAGTTCCAGTCTGCAGGAAACCCTCGTTTGAAATAGCTCATTTCTTTTTTTTTTTCCCCCAACCTGATCCTTCACTAAATCTGAAATCTAGCAAATATTAGAAATGACATGATATTTTTATAATAAGCTAACAGACACTAGTAGATAATTCCCATGAATACTACATCACTTTTTTAGCAAAATCAATTTGTGCATACGAGGTCTGACAATTACGTTTGCAAATTCATCTTAGAAAAAGTGCTACATGCCCTCATTGCTGAATGTCACTATGGTCACCTTCGAAGTACTCCCCTTGGGAACCTATGCACTGATGTCAGCGCCTAGTCCACCCTTCAAAGCGATTTTGGAACTCTTTTTCTGGAATGGCCATCAGAGCTGTTGTTGTATTATCCTTGATGTCCTGAATGTCATCAAAATGTCTTCCTTTCAATATTTCTTTTATCTTCGGGTAAAGAAAGAAGTCACTGGGGGCCAGATCAGGTGAGTAGGGATGGTGTTCCAATACAGTTAGTTGTTTACTGGCTAAAAACTCCTTCACAGACAGTGCCATGTGAGCTGGTGCATTGTCGTGATGCAAGAGCCATGAATTGTTGTGGAAAGTTCAGGTCATCTAACTTTTTCACGCAGCCTTTTCAGCACTTCCAAATAGTAAACTTGGTTCACTGTTTGTCCAGTTGGTATAAATTCAAAATGAATAATCCCTCTGATATCAAAGAAGGTTAGCAACATCATTGCAACAAGATCATGAACTTAGTTGTCAAACTGCTTATGGGTTCCTCTTTGCCTGTTTTGTTGTTGATGGTGTACAGACCAACAGCTAAGTGCATCCTGCAATCATTCCCAACCTGAAGTGTTTGAAGGAAGTGTTGAGTTTCCATACCTAATCACACTCATTGCAAAAAATGTAACAGGAATTATGCATTTGCCTGTGACAAAGCAGCCTGGGTTAAATTAAGCAGAGGTGGGTACACTAGGGCCTGAGGGCCAAAGTGGGACCAATGCCTGTTTTTTATAAACAAAGTTTTATTGGAATGCAACAACATGCATTCATTTCTGAACTGTCTATAACTGCTTTCACACTACAGCAGCAAAGGTGAGTAGTAGAGACAGAAAGCTGTATGGCTCACAAAGCCAAAAATACCTACTATCTGGCCCTTTGCATTAAAAGTTTGCCAACCCCTGAAATAAAGTATCACACTTCTTGCTCTAGGTTCACAATATTTAAGATGACGTGGGACTCTTCCCTGGCCATCTCACATGGACTGACAGTTCATTTCTAAGTTTTATAAAGTTAAAATTGCAAATTTGGTAGGTGAAATCTTTCAAGATTTGGGGTGGAGTCAACAGAATTTTTCTTTTTAACCAAGTATCTCCTTATTCATGCTTACCAAAATCAAAAAATGGACTCTGGGCTGCTCTTACACTTGTTTAACGGTTTTAAACCCATTGAGCAAGTTTTAGTAGCTGTCTTTTTCCAACATGACTTATCTGGTTGGTCACCAATACTTTACAGGGCTAAATATTCTTAGCCTTGCATTGTGTTTTTAAAAAGAAAATGTGTAAACTATTTGGGATACAATGTTTTTCCTGATTTGAAAAGTCATAAGCACAGATTAATCCATATTGTACAAGATAAAAAAAATGCTTTTAGCAAAATGTAATAAGAGTATAACAGCTATAGCATTTGAATTCACTGGTTCAGAAACACGAAGCATATATATTTTGGAACCAAGAGACAAAATCTTTGTTACTGTCTAAGAAAATTATGTTTAGGGAGGAGGTTTCCCATCTTCTACCTTTAAGGCAACAGAGTCTCAATGAGTGTCCATTTTGTTAGAAGCATAGTCAATGCATGGAATTCTTGGTGTAAAGAACTTTCTCTGGGACATATCTCTTCAAATTAGATCTAACAAAAGGATGAATTCACAGACTTGGGGGGTTCTGACAACTCCATAACAAGGAAAAGCTTTAGACATTTTGTTTGTTTGTTTAAACCTGATCCTCAAAATATTGTCCTCATGAAGTATTTACAAAGTCAAGATCCCAAAGGTCTAGAACATTCTCTAGATCAAGGTTTCTCAACCTTGGCACTACTGACATTTAGGGCCTGATGCTCTACGCACTAGATGCCAGGAGTACCTCGCCCCTGGGTGACAGCCAAAAGTATCTGCAGATATTACTGAATGTCCCTAGGGTTGGCAGGGGGACAAAATTGCCCCTGGCTGAGAACCACTGCTCCGGAGAAGAGTTAGACCTTTAACTTGCCAAAAGGTGATTATTTCATTCAACCTGCACAAACCAACTATCCATACACTTGGAAGCAAAATATGTTCCCTTCCCAGATGAGGTGGCTACATGTCCTATCACAGTTACCTCTGCCACGCTGGAAAGGAGACCAAAACTTTCCTCAGGAAATTCCTCTGTGCTAGATTCTCTGTCGCCTTATGCTGTAGTACCCAGATTTCCTTCCCAGAATCTCATCAACATGTAGAAGGCACCACAGGCATCCAGAGCGAGGCTCCCTTTTCAACTCAGTGTTTTCAAGCTCTGCCTTGATTCAACAGCAATGATGGACAGCCGCTTATCACTGATTAGGGCAAAAACACTAAGTAGCCCGCATTTGCTAAAGAGTCCATGGCAATAGATGATTGCCTTCCATATTGCACATTAACAGAATTTCTTATGGCAGCGCTAACCGTTGAATGTGGATGTTTTCCTATGATCCTTTTAAATCCCCAATTCAATTACCATGCTCATTTTTCTGATGAATCATCAGCAGAAAGCCAGGCAATTTTTTAGAGAGTGATATGACCCTCAGCTGGAACATTACTTCTGTAGGACTCCACTGTACCTACTTGGCAGTAAACAGACACTCAATCTAGCCCTGAAGAAGGTTAGGTCTTAGTACTTAACCCAGCATGAAATTAACCTTTTACAGAACAGTTAGTTTCTCCAAGATAGCTGTTCTACAACTGATGCAAAAAAAAAAAAGGGGGGGGGGAATAAAAATAAATAACAGAGTGAAATGTGTGGTGTTATTTTATTGTTGTTTCTCTACATTTGAGAGCGTCAGCGATGCAAATCTCAGCTCTAGGCCATAATTAAATGGATGCATCAAAATGAAGACTTCACGTACAATTTCAGCATTACAGCAGCAGTGAAATGTTAGGTCTTCGATATTGCTTTTCCCTCAAGGACTTCCTTTCTTCTCTACCTCGTCTTCCTTCACTAGAGGGATACACACCAGCAAAGCAACATCTGACATGTTGACATTGCCACAGATACCAAATCCCCACAGAATTCAGGGACTGTGCCATAAATGAGGAGCTTTCTTTGAATTCTAAAATTGTCTGAAAGCTGAAAAGTAGAAGAAAAAAATGGACAAGTGTCCAATATATCAGCTGTGACTCTTGAGCTGAGTGCCTTTGTTACAGCAACTTGTAGATAATGCCTACACATGTCTGAGCAGTGAGAAAGGAAAGACACAATGATTAAGGCAAGCCGGTCCCCGGGGATCAAAAATCCACCAGTTACTTGATTTTCCCTCAGTCTTGCTCCTTGTACATGCACCTTTCTAGGTTTCAAGTGCTTGAAGCTGTTGACATCACAAACACCACAATTCCATCTTTCCACCTTCAACATCCCAGTGGTGAAAAGTGAACCCTCCCTGATGCCCAAGATGCTGAAATGAGTTCCACTTCGTGCCCTCAGCTCAGACCTAAAGAAACAAGAAGGTAATGACTAAGGAAAATTATGATTGCCTTGGCTACAATTTTAATTTTTGGCAAATGTACTTCTGTGGGCTTAGTATTTGTTTAAATAGTACATAAAAATACCAAAAAGATGTCATTATTAGTGGCTTATCCACATGCCTTTTTCTTTCTTGATTATTGTTCCCTCTATTACCTGTATTCTCACTCCCTGGTCCAGATTATCTGCCACAGCTGGGATGGAGAAGAGAGCTCACATCTTTCACTCGCCCGTTTTCTGAGCACTGCTACATTCTGAATGTGATGCCTGGGGGCCTTCCAGCTAACTGGATGTGTAAATAAAAGAGTTTTATATCACTTCAAGGTGTCATTCAAATTTTCATCCTAGCTAACAGGGAAGAAATTCACCAAATCCACCCTGGGGCCATTTTCCCATCTCTTTTCCTGCTGACACTCATGTAATGTGCTAGACAAAGGCACAGCAAGTCCCATATTACAATCTTTTAGGACTAATTCCCCAGTCCTTCCTCCAATCTTAAAAAAAGATCACTATTCTCACTCATGGATGAAAAATATATATAAAGGGCTGAAAGGTAGTTTTCATTATCAGACTTTTTTTTTCATATCCTTTCTTTTTCCTATTTATCCAGACCTGAACTCACTAGTAATCATAATGCACTTGGAATTGTATTGAGTGGGCTATAAGAAGAAGAATAGGAAAGTTTAAGGGTGGAACTTTGTAACTTAGTACTCTTTATCCATTATATGATTTGAAAATTATTCCCTGTGTTGTTGTTGCAAGCATAGGGGAATCTGTGATGATATCACATTTAGATTCTTGGTAAGATTTCCCTGCCTGTGTATTCTGACAAGTACCATCATAGTAATCCCCATGGTGTGAAGACAATCATTAGTAATTGGCCAAGAGGAGGTGTCAATGGTGCTTCAGCCAGTGGTTCAACTACCCACTAATAAAGGCTTTGAACGTGGAACATCTCTTGGAACCACTTTACCAGAGACTATTTTTCTAGAATGACCAAGGGCAAATACCAAGATTCAGTGCAACACCTAAGTAAAAATAGCAACACCACTAGTCAAAGTTGTTGAGTGAGATCTTGCTGTAAGCAGTCTCTCTGAGGTGGTTCAAAACCAATTTGTAAGTAATTCACCAAGAACCTAAAAGCAAACCCCAGGACATTGTAAAATCCACATCTTTCTCAAAGGATTAGTTTCAGAGCATCTCAGAGGTGATTTAAATCAACAATGGCTGGGGCAGGCAGGAGAGGTGACATCATCGTCTATAACATTGTTGTCTGGTAGAAATTTCGGCAATGATAGAAATGTTCTATATGTGTACTGCCCAACATGGTAGCCATTAAACTGAGGGCTTTTGAGCATTAAAATACGGCTAGTACAAATGAAGAACTGAATTTTTAATTTTATTTAATTTTAATGACATATACATTTAAATAGCCACATATGTCTACTGGCTACCATACTGGATAATGTAGGTCTAGAAACTGAGGGAGGCAGTGCTGAGGATTGAGTGTCTAGTCCAGGCAAGTGACAAGGCATTGCCCGGAAAGCTGTAAGCCTAGGCAAAGGTGGCACCACACTTTCATCTTGCAGGCCATCTCCAATTGATTGTTAATGAACACCTGCTTCCAAGGTTAAGGCTGAACTCATTAAGAAAGAGTACTGTGATTAATTAGCAATGTCTGACATGACGATAGGAAGGGGAGTTGGTGGCACATGTGCTGTGACTTCCCAATGTCAATATGGTGAGAAGTTAAACTCTAAGGATGTAGAGAGAAGTAGAGGAGACAGCCAGTTATGCGGCCATAAAATAGATGGCCGTTCTAGAAAACAGACTGGACTATGGTGATTTCTTTACTGCTCTGAATTAATGCTCTCATATAACTATGGTTAGGCATGGGTTCTAAATATATGACTGCAGCCAGACAAGCAAGGGGCTTCTGGTGTCATAGTATTTATTTAGTTGCTTATTTATATGTTGTCTGTATTAAATTGTTTACTTGTTTAGTATCTGTCTCTTCCACTAGACTGTGAGCTGCATAAGGTCATGGACCATCCTGGGCCAGAAAGTAGGTACGAGGTAAAAGATTGTCAATCGATGTCAACTGTAACTGAAATAAATTAATTAAAAAAAAAAAAGATTGTCAATTTGAGTATTCATACCCAACCTTATTCCTCAAAAATATAATTGAAGGTCTACTACACACAATGTACTATGTTAGGGTAGGAAAACAATAGCTGTGAAAGACAGGCCCAGGCTCTGTCCTCATGGCCTACATTAAACAGCTAATGAACTACACAATTACGAATACATGAGGCCATATCAGCAGAGACCTAACTTATGGGTTAGGCAGCAAAAGGTGCAAGTAAGGGAAAGCTTCCTTGAGGTGCTGAACTGAACTTTGAAGGCTGAGTAGGAATTCACTGGGTGAGAAGGAGGTGGAAGGGGAAGGGAGGAAGAGCATTATAGCCCAAGGAAATGAATTGGGCAAAGGCTCTGGGTAGGGCAGGGTGAGCCCCACACACGTAAAAAGGGCCAGTGTTACTGTCATCCAAAGACCAAGCAAGGCAGAGGGGCTAGAAAGCAAGTTGTTAGGGTCAGTTGGTGATATCTCCAGAGGAGCAGAGGAATACTGCACCCCAAATCCATCCTTTGGACCTCCCAGACACCTGATCCCACCCGGTAACATCTGAGGGCATCCTTCCTAGGAATGACCACATGCTTCCATGTACCCCAACTCCTAGCACCTTTAACTCTAATGAGATACTTTTTTGCTCAATTTCTTTAAAAGGATCCAAAAACACATGGGGGAAAACTCATTTACACACTTACACAGTTACACACACACACACACACACACACACACACACACACACACGTTCAGACTTGTGTATGAGTTTACAAGTCTTTGCTCATGTAATACTAAATTTGAGTTTCCAGTCTAGCCAGTTCTTAGAAAGGTAAAAATATTATCCCCATTTCACAGTTGACAGTTTTGAGGCTCAAAGAAAATGTAACTTGTCCAAGGTTCCAGTTACAAGGGGCAAGGCAGGATTCAAAGTCACATCACCCAAGTCCCATTATCTTCCCTACAAGATCAGTTTCTTCCCAATTGAGGGCCCCATAGGGAACATTGAGTCTGATCCTTAGTGACCCTACCAACCATGAAATTTTTAGGAAATAAGTATTGAGGTCATTTTTGTCCTGCAAGTGAAAGCACTGCCCCAAAATGGCTCCTCTTCTCCAGCCAGGGAGACTTTCTCAGCTACTGGTCTAAAACCAGTAAATGAGTTTTCCTCCAACATGGTTGGAGGCCTTGGAGAACTGCCTTGGAAAGTTATACAGCCCCTTATTCAGGAAGGTAATGTTATGTGTACAATTCAAATCCAGAGCCATGCTTTGAACTATTTTTTAAGTAAATTTGGAGAACCTGGAATCATTCACAGAGCCTCATTACTTCTTAAATGTGATGAGTCATTTTCAGACCCATGGATCCAATACCCCCAAAGCACTTTCAGCAGTGACAGCTCTTATATCCTGAAACTCTGTAATGGTTCAGATACTTGACATGCATTTTGTAATTAGGATGACCAACTGTCCCAGTTTACCTGGGACCCAGGGTTTCCTAGAATAGAACAAGTTGGTCACCCTACTGGTTATTCAATCCTCAGAATGCTCAGCAGTGGTAAGGGGGCCTTATCCACCCACCATCCTTACAGATAAGAGAATCCAAACCAGAGTGTTCACATGGCTTGCCCAAGATCCTCACAACCTGTAGGAACAAAACTGGAGTTTGAACCAACATCTGATTCCGATGGGCTAGTCCTACCCTAGCCCTCTGGGTAACCATAGCACTGCATTTTAGCTGAGAGATGGACATTCTTGGGTACTGACATGTAAATGAACCCCTCAAACCTTCCACTTCTCTGGAGAATTCTCACTTTTCTATCTTATGAAGTGGGTAGAAATTTTTCAGGACTGAAATAAAACTGGGAGCACTCTTTTGCCTTAAGCTCAATGTCCTGATTTGTATGTCAATGGCAGCAGTGCTATTTCACCTGAGGGCTGCTTTAAAACCACCCAGAGCAGTGCAAGCATTTCAGGCTGGGACACTAACCAGTAAGTTGTAGAGAACAGTTCTTGAGTCGCATCTGATGAAATGGAAAGGGTAGAGTAGGGCAGACTTAAACTTAAATACTTTCTCTGCCATATACTAGCTGTGTGACCTCAGGGCTAATAATAGTTACTTGAAAGGATTACTGGAGAGCATAAAATAAGACCACCCAATGTGAATCTACCTTGCTCCATGACTGGCACGTGATAAATGCCCAATAAGTGTTAGTTCATCAACAATCCCCAAAGAAAGGAAACTCAAAATGTCCCTTGCTTTGTAATCTCCTAAAATGCCCAACAGAGTTTCTGAAACCTAAACCTAAGTGAAAATAATAGATTGTATCATAAGAACTCAAACAACCGATTAAAAAAAAAAACGGGCCAAATATGTGAACAGACATTTCATCAAAGAAACATACAGATGGAAAACAGGCACATGAAAAGGTGTTCAACATCATGAGTTAATAAAGAAATACAAAGTAAAGCCACAATGAGATATCATTATACACCTACTAGAATGACTAAAATTAAAAATACAGTAATACCTTGGTTTGTGAGCATAATTCATTCCGGAAACAAACTACTCGTATCCCAAGACATCGCTCATTTACCATGTTAAAATGTATTAGAAATGTTTGTTCGTCTTTTGGAACACTTGCAAACCACATTACTCACAATCCAAGGTTTGACTGTCCTGTACTGACAATACCAAGTGTTGGCAATGATGTGGAGCACCTGGAATTCTCATGTATTGATGGTGGGAACGCATGATGGGTCAGTACATTTTGAACAACTATTTTTGAAAATAGGTTGGCAGCTTTTCATAAAGTTAAACCTACCATACAACCCAGCAGTCCCATTCCTAGGAATACACCCAAGAGAAAAGAAAATGTATGAAGGAAGGAAGGAAGGAAGGAAGGAAGGAAGGAAGGAAGGAAGGAAGGAAGGAAGGAAGGAAGGAAAGCAGGAAGTTTATAGGCGCTTTATTCATAAAAGTCAAAAATCTGAGAGAGCCAAGATGGTGAAATAGATAAACACTGTGCCTGCTTCCGTCTGTGAACCCATTAAAATTACAACTAAATTATAGAACAATCAACCTGGACAACCATCTGAAGTCTGGGTGACTAGAAGTTTTATAACTAAGGATATAAAGAAGCCCAGTGGAGACTGATAGGAGAGGCGGAGACACGAAACGGGCTGGCCCCAAACCTCCATGTGGTGGTTGGGAACCAGGTAGGATATCTCAGCCATGGAGGGTCTCCCCTGGGAAGAGAAAGACTCCAGCCCCACACTGGCCTCCCCAGCCCAGAGTACTGGCTGGGAAGA